GACTAACATCATATACCACTAATGTCAATATACGTAGCACACACCACAATAGTTTCTTAAATTATACAATTGTACATTTTAATGAATGCTTCTTCGACTAGGAGTATAAAGCTCTGATAACTTTTGTTATAGACCTATTTCTAAAATTGTGTGATAATAATTTTCTGTATGTGGTGGACAGTGGGGCATTATCGTGGATTGTTTGGACTTAGACATTAACACCGTTGCATATCGACCAACTCATTGCTCTAGAGGTCAAGCGTTTGCCCATGAGACAAATGGTCCTGGATTCCAATCTCGTGTTCGGGATCATGGATGTGCACTGTTGGGTAGTCCCATACTAAGATGAAACATCCGTCCAGTGCTTGCAGATTATCCATGATGGTCTTGCTTCGATTGACTCATGAACTCAACTATTAAGGAGAAGAATTGTAATTCTCTTGACTATTTCAATGTGTATTTAGTTTACATGAATTGAATGATTTGTAAGCGAAGATTTCGTGATCGTTCTGAACAACATTATCGTTTAATTATTTGAAAAAAAATGAACTATAGGAGGAAGAAAAATAATTTCATATGTCCTGAACTAAACTTAGCCTGTAGCTCTTCCAGAGTTACTGCCGGTTCCAAGCCTGGGTAAAGGAGGAGAGTGGGTCGTGGGGTTAGTGATCACATCCCGTAGAAAACTAACTCACTAAGAAAAAACGCTAACCAGAAAAAAAACATTTCGATATAAGTAAGTCCTGAAATAATTCAATCTATTGACATTAACTGTGATTGTTACTTTGTATTATGACTTTCATTAGTGTATATGTGAAAATTGATGCTCTTTAACCTGCCTCACAGTTAACATCAGTCATTGTTTAGCAAATATGTGAATGACATAACATTGAATCATTCAGTATCTAACTAATTAACATGAAGTATTTATCGTGGATAGAATCGGATGGGCACCGAAACTAAGTCAGTCAGGTATTCTCTTCCATTGCCATAATCTATATTTCATGGAATGTAGATATACGGGATATTTGTTGGCTCAAATAAGAAAAACACACACATCGTGTACGTGTGTATGAATAATGTTGAAAAGTAGATGGAATGCAATTATTTCAGCGAGTCGTTCATTTCTTTCATTGATAATCCACCTTTTAATATCGATAATCGAACTCAAACGTGTTCATTATTATCTGAGATAGCATTCATAGAACTTCCTGCAACATGAAATTCATCATTCAAAACAATTGTACAAACGCTAGTTGTTATATCCCGACGAATATTATGAATGACAACTCTTGAGATCTAATTATGGACAAGTAATATACGTTTGATAATAATATATAACTATTCAGTAACTGAAATATACATATGACTTTACATTCCTCATTACAAGCTTCTCTTTGACCTTTGAACAATTATTATACGATTTATCGTTCTTGAGCTATACCCAGTCAATTAATTACATTCCACTCATTCACAATAACTTTTGGCTAGTTCATGTGAGATGGTTTGTAGGTGGTGCTTCGATGTCCGATGGATTCAACGGAGCGAGTCTATTCAAGAGTTCCTCGAAGTATTCTACATATCTGTTTCTCTGGTCTTGAATCTCGGTGATTGTTTTGTTATTTATTCAGTGAAGAATCGGCTTACACTTAATCTGATCATTCTAATCACGATCTGCCGGATACCCAATGTATTTGAAATTATCAAGCTGAACATTGTTCATTCTTGTATACAGTGTTTTCACGATTCAAATTAGCATCTTAATATTAGTCAGTAAAAACCATCGTTCAGTAAACAGTTGGTGTACTTCGTGCTAAAGATTTACCAGCGAATTATATTTGTTGCTCTTCTCATGTTTATGTAAATTTTACTTTATTTACTGGATAGAAGAGATAACGTATGAAAAGAAAGTAGTTCACAAAAATTATAAATCTTATCTTTAATGACACGTTTGTTTCTAAGGTAAGTAAGACAAACCAAGCCATTTTAATACATTACCTCCTGCTGTCGGACATCCTTATTCTTCACTAATGTTATCTACTACTTATGTCGAAATAAGTAGCACACACCTCAATACCATCTTCATATATTCGAACTCATATCATCTAGTGTAGTACCCAAGGAAGTCTTCTCCGAACTATCGTTGTACTGATGACAATGCACATCAGTATATGTGTTGTATTTTGATTGTTAATTTGGTCATGATATATACATTGGATAGTGTTAAAAACTCAGAAGACTGCACAAATAAACGATTGTGTTAGAATAGCAAAGCGAGATTGTCTGACTTGATGATGTAGGCAAACTAGATTAAAACCCTTGTCCAAGAATTACTTTTAACTGATTCCAACCATTCAACATCAGAACATGGTACAAATGTCTGAATGTGGATCATATTACAGCTCGATCTATGAGATATGAAGATATGTATAAATTACCAGATAAGTATGATAATTGTCATCGCCCTGTAATGCGTTAATAGCCAATACTAGTCACTACACTTATCCACAAGTTACTTATTGTTCTGCAGCTCTTTGTAAATTGACCAAATTGATTGATTCTTAACGACGGATAACTTACGCCTGTTACTCCTAATGAAGCATTGGTCGCCAAACAGCATTCTCCAACCCATTTATTCTAATCTGAGCCTTCCCTTCTAGTTCTATCCCATCGATGTTCGTTCTTCTCACGTCTGAGAGCTTGCCTTGTGACACAGTTGCGTGTTTTCCTCAATGTGTGTCCTATCCACGTTCAGTGCTTCTCTTATTTGATTCATTCGTCAGCTGGAATCTGTTTTGTTCTCTCCCGTAGTAGGCTGTTGCTGATAATATCTGGCCAACGGGTTCCAAGTATTTTGCGTAGATATCTGTTAACAAACACTTGTATCTTCTGGATGATGACTTTCGTAGTTCTCCTGGTTTCCCCCCATACAGTAGAACTGCGTTCACATTTGAATCAGATCCACCATGTTCATCAATGAAACTGTCCAGATATGTGAAGGTTTTTACTTTTTCCGAATCTCCATCAATTGTGATTGCATTGGTGCATTCTGGGTTGTATCGGAGAATCTGACCTTTCCAGTTGTGTATATTGAGACTTACCACCGTTGAGGCTGTGCTAAGCTGATCGTCCTCTCCTGCATTTGTTGTTGCGTGTGCGATAGAAAAGTAGGTTTAAGTCAGATCATCAGCGAGGTCTAGATCATCCAGCTGCATCCTTGATGTTCACTGTATCTCATGCTTCGTCATAAACGTTTTAAATTTATGACCAAGCATTAGTGATAAATCGGATATCTCTGTGTAACCTTGTGTGACAGCGAAGCATCATTTTCATATATATCTCGTTAAATAAACTTTGAGAGTTGCTTGCAATCAAGTAATCAGAAAAAATTATATCCCCTGAGTTTCAGAAATAATTTTGTATATGTATATGCATTCTGAAGGTAATAATTACAGAATTCATGCCAGTAATTTACAGATGTGATCAGCATTTAAACTGCGCTTGTCTTTGATTTGATTACCATTTCTGTTGGCGTCTTAGTTTATTACGATATTAAGCTGGTATATGTAATTCGTGAGGTTTACTAAACTTGTGCGTTTTAAAACAGACTATAAACACCGAACATCGTCTAACTCCATCAAAAATCTCCTCAATAACATCAATTCAAATCTGATTGCCCTCACCCAACTACCGTATCCAACTTCAATCAACATTCAACACAAACACCCATCTGGTAGACAGTCGAGTGCGTCTATCCAGAATATCGTGTTGCGATAAATTTCTCCGCCAGAGTGATTGAAATAAAACGAAACACAGAATGTGATGTGGAGTTTTTCATGAAAATGATGATTGTTCATAGTTTCACATTCAATAAACATGAGAAGTATCAACTAGTCGAGTCTAAACGTTTCTAGATTATTATAATTATGAGTCCCACCGACATACAAACTACGGAAGTGAAATCTCGAGAATTCAGTAAGGTAATGATCACTAATTTAGAATTAGATGGTAAATGTACACAGAGTTTATTCATAGCTGATGCCAAATCTACTCAAAAATGATAGAGAATTTTATTCAGTTTTCTGCTGTGTGTTTGTCGGTGATTGTCAGTCATATGAATGCATCATTAGAAAGCGACATTCCTTTCTATACTCAAAGTGAATAGAAAACATCAGATAACGTGATGATTAAGATAAAATATGGTGAAAAACAACAGAATCTTTGATCATTGACATTTCTAAAAACAACAAATGCGGTCAACAGACAGATATCTGCATATCACGCGTTCAGTTAATGTACACTACTATTTTCACTAGTGTTAACTTTAGAAAAATATTTTCTATACAAAAACGTAAAGTAGATTAGAAGAAGAAAAGTAGATGTGCTGAATATGTGGAATATTCAAACACATAATCGTGACTGAATTGACAATGTACAGCACACAATGTGAACGGTTTCACGAGTACGAAAATAGCACGTGTTGTGTTCACGTCAAATAAATACAGTTCATCGACGATAATATGTTCCTGATGGATAATTTTATCTTCTGCATTCGTTCAAATACACTTTTGTGTTGTTAATCACATAATGGCCCCGAGTATATTAGGGACTTGAAAGATGAGTGTCCACCTAAGGAAAGTGGAGAAGACGAAATACAAACAAGTGAAACAACAAACAGTCGGTGATATTCAATATGGAATTGAAATCACGCATAAATATCACTCTCTGATTATCATTAATTAGATGTGTAAATTGATATAGGTTTGAAGAAAGTCTCCAGGAATAATTATTAGGTAAGATTCAGTTCATTATCAGTTGTGTCTTCAAAGCATATTCACCTGGATATTCAGGAAAGTGAACGGATTAAATTACTCTGCATACTCAGAGAATTTAAATCTGCAATGTCTACGTCAGATCATTCCACTTCATTTCCAATGAACTCCATTTCAATATGTTTGAATGTATTAAGCACTTTTGTAAAGCACTCTATGTTATCACAGACCACTACTACTACTACTACTACTACTACTACTACTACTACTACTACTACTACTACTACTACTACTACTACTACTACTTCTACTACTACTACTACTACTACTACTACTACTACTACTACTACTACTACTACTACTACTACTACTACTACTACTACTACTACTACTACTACTACTACTACTACTACTACTACTACTACTACTACTACTACTACTACTACTACTACTAATACTACTACAGCTCTGCTTCTGTTTAGAATTCAACAGAAATGGCGCGAAGTAATGTTTTCGATAGTTTGATGTGGTGTAATCTACGTCCAAACAGATCTGTTAATTTCTTACAACTTTCTGTTTGTACCGAATTACATACATGTCAACACATAAAACTCTTGCATTCTATCACAATGATCTGACATAACTTTCTTTAATCGTCATTATTATGTTGGTCAGATAGAATGAATAGGACTACGTTTAGAAGTTTTGTTTTCTTATTGAACTATGATGAAATCGTCTAACAGAAGTTTTATTAAAATGAAATTCAAGTGGCAAAGTGCAAATGTTGAATTTCCACCTAAACATTTTGATTTGAATCAATCAAATAAAAACAATACACCATTGACAGTCTATTCAGAGGTGTTTGCCAGCAGCAAACTTCTTGTTCGTAAACACATAAGCACAAATTTTGAATAGCAGGTTAACCAACCGTGTATTATGAAGCATTTTCAATTACATTCAAGAGCAGTTTCATCAATAGGGATCAGGAATATAAAACAGCGTTGGATAAACTCTAGCTTAGGTTCTCAATAGATAGATGAATATTGAATAACGATCAGTTATTCCACCACCATGATTGGTCAATAATGAACGAAATTTGACCTTCATGGTCACTTTGAATCATCGAATCAGAATAAAACAACCAAACACTCAAAAAATCTATATATACCAGACAATTTTTAGTGAAATTTCATTAACTGCTTTAAACGAGATGATGAGGTGAGTGTTAGCTGAACACGCTCGGTAAATGAGTGTATCGTACAAATTGAAATTTCATTCCATGAGATCACGTTATTTTATTCACCTGAATCATTTTAGATTCAATTCTCCATATGATCTGTTCATACGAATTTCTATGATCTTGAACCTGTTTTCCGTGTTCTGTAACTGCAAGGAAATCTGCAAACTGCCGGAGTGGAAGAACTTTAACAAAGTGATTTTTAAGAATGATTCATATCAATATGTAAGTAATCAGTCAGATGCTAATAATCATATACAGTCTCATTATTATCATTACTCACAAACAATTAGTCTCAATCAGCCTCATCCAGATGTGAGTGGCGGGTTCGAGATATTTGACGTGGATAATGTGAGTTGATTACATTTTGTAGTGGAGGCACTATTCCTGTATTTATACCTTTTAGTATATTAAACCAGAATTCCCGTTTAATTATTACGGCACTAATGTCACTACATTTCAAATCTGGTCTCGTGGTAAGTACATAGTTTTCTTTCAACTAAAACTGTTATTGAATTTTCTTGATCACAAATGAATCCCATGAATCAAAGTTGATTCAATTTCTTCAGTGAATCACTTACATGCTCCGTGTTACATGTTGAACTGATGCAATTTATCAATCAAATTGTATGTTTTCATTAACAAAAATATAGGTGCTTTATCTATATATGAAAATGAAGAGCCAATTGGACAAATCACAAATGTTGTAGCAAAATATGTGTCATAAAATCTTTTGACTGAAAGTGAGTTTCATGAATTATTCAGTTGCAGTTTGTTTTGTTTATTGTTCACAAATACATTTTGCATATATGGAATCTCACCGACATGAGATTTCCCAGTAATGTAAGTGAATCGAACTAAACAAATATGCAGTAATAAGCGATATTTTGAGTTAAATTAGTTTGTACTATTGAAGCAGACAATCTAGAAAATCTTATTTGATGCCCTAAAATACATTTCTAGCACTTACTGCAGTCGCTGTCTGTCGACCATCGTATACTCAACTATATCCCTATAAACATTTTCATATGATTATGATCTTCGAATCCAAACACTTTCTGACACAGCGCACTAATGAACGAACGTGAACAGTCGGCTAGTACAAGATCGTTTACTCAAACTAGAACACCTAGAATATCAAGTTTACATCCGTATATCTCAGTCAGTTATACGAATTGACGATCAACAAAATCTAGCGTCCAATAAATATCAAAAAACAATTACTCGGTCAAAAACGTTCGGGAAAAATTAACAGAAAAGTAACATTCATCTCACTTAGGGGATTGAAACTTTCACAATATCGTTGAAGTGACAATAATCCTTGAACCATCCTCATAAGAGATGATCGAGCATTTCACCACACCATTTCATGTAAATGTTGGAATGAAATTAATAATTTGTATGCAGAGGTAGTCCATGTTAAAACATACATTTGATAAAAGAGATGGATTTTCATTTTACATATATTTCATTATCAATGTTTATTTTCAATATATCAGATGGATTATTAGCTGCCAGATGGTCTCTTGGAGGAAAAGATAAGGGTACACGTAAGTCCAGACATATGAACTCTGCACACTTGCTTTTTCACTCTTTGTGATCACTCACTGTTTGTGTGATTCAGTTCTCAGTAAATGGACACGTAAAACTTTGTTACTTTTCTGGAAAATGAGAGTTGAACCAAATGTTGAATCCACTCACCATTTGATCACATTGATTGGGACTTGAAGCTCAGTTGACGTGAACTGAGAAACATTATTGATTGCAGATCAAACTGAAGAAAGCATTTAACGCAACTCAGTTAATATCCATTAACTTTGATAACATTCTGAGTGAGGATAAACTGTTTTACACCCATCTTTCAAATTCTAAGTATCTTTAATCTTTTATTTGTAGAGACTACACCCCTAGTAACTACTCTGATATATGCAAATGGGAAGATATCTATCTATTATGAGAACGTAAGTTACAAAATTGAATGGAAATATAATTTTCTTTCGAGTACTTGAGTTCAATCTACTATTTCATATTTATGAATACTGTCGAATGTATTAAGCTACACCGAACACGATAGAAAAAGATCAACATTTTGTCATGTGCCAACATTCATCAATGTATCATCTGAGCACAGCTTCCTTGAAGTTGTTAACAATCACATTTTATTACAACTGACGTAGACTTTCATCTCACAGTGTGTCAACATATTTCATGATAGACTGTTAAGTCATCAAACTTGACTGAATTCGACAACTGACGTGATTCAGGATATTTATGTACACCAGATGAAACACACTTTCAAAGAAAATGAGAATATCAATATATGTCATGCAAGTGTGGTTAAGATAATTTGAACGAAGACCCATTTCTATAATGATCAATTTGTTTTGATAGAAGAGGTTGTATGCTGACCAATCCTCGTTCCATGGTTCTTTCCAGATTCTTTCGGAAATTAACAGAGACACGATATTAGGAATCCGAGGAATTTTTCACTGTGAAACAGGTAAGAAACTTTGCAAAGAATGATCTTGACAGTTTGATGTACGGTGATGTATATAATCAATCATCTGTTTGCTTATGCTCATATAACTGGCAATCAGGAGTAAAGTTACTAAGGTGTATGAATGTTTCATATCGCAAAAGTTTGGATGGTTAATTAGAGAGGTTTTAGACTTGTGGAGATCGATCAACTGAACAAGTCAGGAATATATGAACGACGAAATTAGGCAGACAAAATATCGACTTGTTTTTCACGCGACTACTCACAATACGACAGTCACACTTGCCGTTTTTATTCATATCACCACTCAATGCATGACAAAGTGTGTTCTATATATGAAAGTGATGAATAAGAGGCATCTGTAGCTAATTGTTTCTTCACACAATGCTCAATCCTATGTGTTGTCGAAAGATGAAGCTGAGCGAATGAGTGGAATACAGTGTTTCATGATCACATTTGAGAAAATGCACCAAATATTTGGTCAAGTAATATAGATTGCCCGATTGACGTGCATTACTGAGTCAGCAAAAAAATGATGAAAATTGTCATTTCTATTTTGCTCGTTTGAATTCCCTCACCTGTCTCTTATTGATTCATGCGCTTTCTGTGATGACTGCTTCGATGTTGTCTTTGATCACAAGCATTGTAAACAAACATAGATGGTGGTTAGCAGTGGAATCGATTGCCCTCAATAATGAACATGAGAAGATTCAATCAATAAAGCAGGAATGAAATAACGTTTCAAGCTTTGTACAAGCCACTGGGTGTTTGGACTGAATTGTTAAGTGAATATCCGTATGGCGTTTGAACTGGATGGTCCTGAGCTCTTGTCCACGAGTAAACATCAACGCCGAGATGTAGGAATATCCAGCTGCGACGTTTTAAATGAGAAGGAACGCTAGTCATCATTCGTTTTCATTTGATGCTCCCATGTTGTTTATTTGTAAGCTGATTCGTGAAAAGGTGTTTATTGGGTTGAACTTAAATGTTTCTGTTGTTGCTCATAAAAGAAATCTAAATGTTAGGTGTTTTCTCTTCAATTTGTCATACAAGGTAGGACAGAACATCAGATAGCTGTTCCTGTAGAATTGATCAAAAGTGGCACGTTAGTGGAGTATGAAGTCATCGGCAGTATGTTAAACCTTATTTATCACCATTTTCTATTTTCACATTTGAATCCGTTCTTTTTATTTCAGTACGCTGAAAATTTCATTTGTAACTGCAGTCATCTACTAAATGACATCCAGACATCCGACCCAAAATACGTTTCACTTACCATTAGTAACTACACGTCTATTCACTTTTAAATATCAGGAATGATAAGGTATCCATTTTGAACGATTATTGAAGTCTTGTGGACAAACTCACAAAACGATGTATGACTTGATAGTAATCTCGATAAAGATTAAGTGACAGTTATCTGATTGTGGATTGACCAGGCAGCTTCTGTTTTTCTTTTTTGGTACATGTGATATCGAATTTTTCTGGGGCATTGAAATCACAATAACACTCCATGTCATTGCGATTAAACGAAAAACGATTGTCTACTTTCTGAAATCTCTGCTTTGTCATATATATTCGATAAAATGAAGATGAAATGTGACGTCACCAAACTTATATTCATCATAGACAGTCTCAGAATTATTGATGTATTTCACAATACGAAATGGAATATGAACACTCAGTAAATGAAAACAGATTTCAGTTCACCATGTTTTAGGCTACCGAAATAACATTTCCACCACTGTGAGCGTCATTCCATTAATAAATGATCAAATCGCCTTCATATTCATCGAATACAATATTATCTTTATCATCGATGAACTTTCTTTGATCCAACTAGTCTGTTGCATTAACTGACAGCACACAGACCAGAATGCGGCCACATACTTCGATATGTTTTATCATATTAGAACAACTAAAATCTTTTCTGGGAAAAATGACAATCATGATTGGAATAACAGTGTCTATCATCACTTATTGTTCAAATGAATCACCATGATTGAATTGAATTTGTAGGCTTAGAACAACTGAACTTCCAGCACTGCTTTCATGAAAAGAAACTCTGCGTTGTTGTAACATAATATGCAGTAGGCTTTGATGAACCCAGTGGCAGAATTGTGCTTACATCTCTGAATGTAAACAGTCATTGAAATCTGTCAAGTTTGTCAGTCGGAATTCATCGTTCATAATTGATATTCTAACTTGTTCCATTCACTCCAAGCATGCCGTTGTGAAACATGATTGAAATTGAATGTATACTGATTATTGCATCACGCATTGTGATAACAACCCTCCAGTGAATGAAATAGTCACTTAACACTGAAATTACTATCATGCCATTGAGTGATAGTTGCATGTATTGTAATTCTCTTTTACTTCTGTTTAAAAATTCGAATTATAGTATCACCTAATTACTTTTACAGCAATTTGTCCAATACACAATTCAAGTGAAGCATGCCGGAAAGCAACAACATCGAAAACGAAATGTATTTGGTGTGAAAATTGGAACACGTGCATTGACAGTAATCATCTGGATAATCATTTCTTTAAAGTGAATGTGTGCCATTTTAAGGTAATTGCTTGTTTAACTGATTGTCAGATCGGTGGTAAATGTTCTGAATGATTGTACAAATGCACATTTTGTTACTGTTTGTTGAATTGTATTTTATCATCCTTATTAACAGTAATGCGTAATGAATTAATCAAAAGGTATTTTATGTTTTTTAATGAATGCTACTCTTTTGTTTATTCAACAGAGCCCGGATGTTAGCGATGTGAGTTCATCGACACCCATCAATCACGAAGAAACAACATTGGGGATCCCTGATGTTCAGGTTGGGGGAAACGTCAAGGAAACTACCAATGGAAATGAACAATACTCGGTAAATATTTGATAGTTAGTAATATATGCTACTGTTTTGTTTTTCTGTAGAATGCGACCACTGAAATAACTCAAGAAAGTGGACAGAACAAATCACTTTGGTACCTGTATATTGTGATTCCTTCGGTCATCTTCTTTGCTGTTTGCATCGGCTACGTAATTTGGAGATGGCTGTATAAAAGACGAAGATATAATGAATGATTCTCGAATATAATGACTAAGTGCTTTTTTATTTCGTATTCCATTTAAAAACTTTGGACTTAATTATTCATTTCAATGGTTTGGTAAATTTCTTCACGGAACTATGTGTATTTTGTTCTTGCCTACGTAATAACCGATGTACACTTGTTAATAAAATACCGGACACGGTTTTTAATACATGCGTTTTTGTCTTCATTAAAATCTGACTTGTTTTTCGAGAGTTTGACAGCATCTTGTTCTTGAACTGGTGGTGTTGTGTTTATTAATTATCAATGTGCACGTTTTGGAATTTTCGTCAATATTACGTCGGACTACTGAAAAATATCATTTGGAATATGCGACGGTCATTATTGCAAATTGACCTGTCGAAACACACATCATCAAAACATAATTAATCTCTTTCATCCTTTGTCACTTCATTATTCATTGTTCAGCAAATGCTGAGTGACAAACTATGGTTAACTCGGGATTATCTAGATTGATTGTGATCCATTCCAAATTTTTATTGTTGACAGAACCAATATACGTCCATTAGTTTCACTCAAAGCTTATTCTTCAGAAGAAGCTAAAATGGAGTTGTCTTTCTCAGCTTCACAAAGGATAACGATACTGAGATGATAGTTAGGTGTGTTAAGTGCTATTGAAGAATAAGTATCCAGCGTTGCACAATGGATTGCAGGTTTTCGGAGCACTCATACTTCACGGTTGTCACTGATGATGTTCAGCTTCATTGTTCTGAATTGTGCTGTGAGGCTTATATAAAACATGATTATCTATGGATTCTAGAACATGAACTTTGTCAACACTGACAACGATTGTCACCTTTTTTCGTCTATTGAAACGAAACATCCTAAAATTTTGTTTAAGCTTTTACGCAAACATATTTCATAACTGGACGTAGAGCGATGTCAGTGAACTTACAGGTGTTGAGGTTTGCCAAATAGATTTCAGTCTTGTGTTCAGCTTATAATATCGTTATACTAGATACTGACTGCTGCCTGACGCCATCTGATTGGGATAAAATATGTTGTAAATCGAGTTTGGGGTTCATTTTGTGTACTTCATTTCGAAAGTTTTGTACATTTTGTTGAACGTCATGATTGTAAATTGGTTATACAGTGACCAGCTCCACTTATAAACTAACAATTTCCTTAATCGCTCACTTATTTACACTCCGCCAAATTTTCTTCAATATTGTAACTTATTTGTGTCCGATTTTTGTTATCATGTCAACTGTGTTTTAAATGGTAATAGTGACTCCAAAGTGAAAAATCAACTTTCGTTCACTCAATCAACGTGATGGAGCACCAAGCAATACAGATGTCCGCTAAATTAAGATTAATGACTGTTGAAACCTCTCAAAGTAGATAATCACGTGCATAGTTATACCAACTCAAATAAAATCGGTTCCAAATTCATATATGTGAGTGGTCACTTCAAAAGATCTATTTCATCAACTGATCTACAAATCATTGAGTCGATGACTTCCAGACAGTAAAATTTTCCATGCATGTTAAGTACTGGACTGGTTACATGATTTGTAACTGTTATGTGGAAATAGGTTCGTATTAGACAAAGACAAAGTGATATGAATATCACATGTTTCTCATTTTAAAATAGTAATCTTGAGAAGTGAGCTCTCACATTACTACTGGTTATAGCATCCAGTACTTTCAAGGCGTCGGATCAAGTGAATTACCTTGATACGTTGAGTGAATGCAAACACATCGTCCGTCTATACTCAGTTGGCTTCGCAAAGTCAAATTTTACGTTAGAAATTATAAGCAAGACACTATTTCGAAGGGACTCGATCGCGCTGTACGTTATTTTATCAGTTTGCATTTGCAATATGCGTCTCCGAATGCCAACATTCCATAAGTAGTTGTTATGATAATTAAAAATATGCGAATCATAGAAATGACTAGGAATTCTCAAATACCTGCAATTTAAGATAGAAAGAACTGAATGAGCGAAAACAAACTAGGAATTCGAAGTCATAGGCCATCACGTGCGTACAACCACTGTCAGGCAAGCCGTACTCACTGACTTCTCGCAGAGGGACGAGGACAAATTGAGAATGGTCGGCTGTTAACTCGGGTTGGTAGATGTGTACGATTCACCTTGAGAGTGTTGGAAAACACTAGTTCCAAACCAATGATGCAGATGGAGCTTAGGATCCTGGGTGAATAAATAACACGTGAACTAGTTATTAGTCAGAGGCAACCATGGAACTGCATCACCCACCTTGTGGATTGCATAGTTCGTTTGAAGTGTCCTGATGTGGCTTTATAAGGAAACCACCTGTTTTGCTTTGGGCATCTAGTGTGAAGCAAATGAGAGGATATTTTGGGTCTAAAATCATTTCTTAATATTCTGTGCATCAAAATCAGGTCACTTCTTTGTCTACGATAAGATGGAGTAAAAAGTTCTGTTTTTCAATCCTCTCTTTTTGTTGTGAACATGAGAGTTCTGAAATCGCACGAGTAGCTGAATCTGTATTACTATTGAATCATTGAAGGTCTAATACTACAAAGGTATTCGCACGTAAGCAATATTCTGTATAACTTTTCTTGTAACCATCGACTCCACGTGTGCATGACATAAATAGTGGAGCGTTTATTTACAAACTCAACTTGAGAATCTCATTGTTTATCTAACATATGGATATTTAAATCGATCAACTAACTCTGACTACAGTGTTTGTTAATTGTAGATGAGAGACGAATAGATTTGAATATGTAATCTCAACGACTTCTCAATGTGAAAGGATAATATATAGGAATGACTATGTGATGAATGGAAGTGTAGATGAATATGATGTGCACAGGAATGGCTTTGTGACAAACACATAACACGATTCATTTTTTTTAATCAATGGTTTCGCACCAAGGTTTGTCGTATCTTTTAGACGAAAGTGAATCTCTGCATAGGTTTTCAAACAGGCAATAAACATCAATATTTTACACATCATATTTAATTTTTCTCAGTCGTCGTCAACTGAGTTTCAAGTCTCAATTAATGTCATCAAACGGTGAATGGACTTGACATTTGATTCAACACCCATTTTTCTAGAAAATTAACAAAGTTTTACTTATCCAGTTATTGATAACTGAATCTCACAAACATTGAGAGATCACAATCCGTGAAGATGTCAGTGTGCAGGTTTCATATTGGTTGACTTACGTGTACTTATAAATTTTCTGTCAGTAGACTATTTGAAAGCGTATAATCCCTCTAAATTATTGAAAATAAAATTAGATAATGAAATATGTATAAAATGAAAATCGATCTGTTTTAATAAATGTACGTTTTACCATGGACTACCCCTGCATACAAGTTGTCAATTTCATTCCAACATTTACATGAAATGGTGTGGTGAAATGCTCGATCATCGCTTATGAGGAAGCTTCAAGGATTATTGTCACTTCAACGATATGATGGATGGTTCAATGCAACTAAGTTAGAAGAATGTTACTTTTCTGTTCATTTTTCTCAAATGTTTTTGACTGTATTACTATCTTTTGATATTTATTGGACGCTAGATTTTGCTGATCATCAATTCGTATAGCTGACCGAAATATACGGATGTAAATTTGATGTTCTTGGTGTTGCAGTTTGGGTAAAGGATCTTGTACTAGACGACTGTTCACGTTCGTTCATTGGTGCGCTGTGTCAGAAAGTGTTTGGATTCAAAGATCATAATCATATGAATATGATTATAGAGATACAGTTGAATATACGATGGTCGACAGAAAGCGACTTAGAGACATCAAATGTTTAGTAATCCAGTAAGTGCTAGAAAGATTTGAATAATTTTTTCTGGTTAGCGTTTTTTTAGCGAGTTGGAGAATGCTGGTCAGCGGCCTATGCTACATTGGGAGTAACAGGCGTATGTAAGTAAGTAAGTAAGTGCCAGAAAAGTATTTTAGGGCATCAAGTAAAATTTGATAGATTGTCGGCTTCAATATTACAACCTGGTTTTAGTCAGAACATCTCTTATCACTGCACATTTGTTTAGTTTGATTCACTTACTTCACTGAGAAATGTCGAGCCGGTGAGATTTCATATATGCAAAATGAATATGAGACGAGGTGACAATAAATTTGGTAGACCATTCAAGATTTCTCCAATTCTCTTGTTGTTTTGAAATATATGTAAATCACCTTTATTTTTGTTAATGAAAACATGCAATTTGATTGATAATTTCACATGGAATGGATAAATGATTTCGAAATGAATTGAAGATTTAAACGAATTGGACATTTATACTGAAACTTTATTTTAATAAAAATTCTGTAAGGCGATTTCATCATCGTTTAATATGAACATGTAACTTCATAATGCAGTCACATCCATTCTGTTCGATCACCATATTATACCACTGGCTGTTCATAGGTATTCGGATTAAAAAGATAATAAATGAAGTATCCTTCATGTACAAGTTGAGCTGACTGTGTCCAATTACGTGGATTGAGTACGTCACAGGTTGTAATAATAGTGAGACAAGGCATTCTGTTAGAAGTGAGTTTTTGAAGATCGAGAACGACTTCTTGAACCAGACACAGTAATTATTGTATCTGATTACTAATAAATTTGTTTACACAGAAGAGAAAGGCTGATTTCCATTTTAGTATTTCAATGAATTATTTCCACATATCATTTGAGCTTGCAAATAGTTGTTCTCTTGGTACATTAGAGATGTACTGTTCTACTTTAGAAGGGGTTTGACAGTAATCAAAATGTTGTTTTATCGAGTATCACAGTGTTGTAGAACAATTCACTGTTGTGCAATTTCATGAG